ATTTCATAAATTTTGTGCCCCTTTGCCACCTTGGGGGTCTCCTCACATACAGTGCATGTTCTTGGGGGACAGGATTTATTTATCATCTATTTCAAATGCAAATGCCTAATTGTGCTGCTGACACAAATAGACCTAAAGTTTAAATTAAATTTACAAAGTTCTTTGAGATCACAGGATACTGAAAGTGCTTGATGCTTGTTAGGTTTCCTGTCTCACCTGCCTTAAATGTGGGGATTTGGAATTGCAGATTGAAGTTCTATCCCCAAAAACTGCCAGTGGATGTGAGTCCTTACCTTGTAAAATCTGAAATGAAATGTTTTTACTTCCACAGTCCAGCCACAGTAATTTTTATATTCATATCCAAGAAGGACAAGCAAAATTTTAATATCCTCTCCCCCTCCAATATATTATTTATGGAATTTTTTCAGCAAATATCTTAAAATATTTAAAAAAAAAAAAAGAGCAACTCAAAGGAATATTTTCCTTCAAGTAATGCTTCTGTATTTAATCCAAGAACAATTCTGTTTCCCTCTACTGGAACCTTAATCTCTGTGGGTTTGCTTGTTGGTGTTTTCTGAGAGATTTTTTCAATAGATTCCATTAAAACAATTAGAGAAAAAGGAAAAAAAATTGGAAACAAAGAAACATTTTTCTCACATTTAAAAAAAACTCTTATAATAATAATCTAATTTAAAGGTCTTAATTAAATTTGTTAAGGTGTGGACTGCTGAGCCCCAATCCACCTGAGTTTACACGTGGGGAAATTAGATGTGACATTATGTAGCTAACTGGAAAAGTTGTTTTTTATTCCCTGAGCAACTATTCATTTCCAGGAAGCCCAGGACACAAACATTAACCATTATTTAAGCAAACATTATCCACTTTCTCCAATGAAAGGCTCCACATCCCAGGCTGATCCAACATCTGAGCATGTTGGTGGGAGTAGGTGTTCCTCCATCCCGAAAACCAGGCTGAGGAGGCTTCAGAAACACTTCACATTCCTTCTCCCCACTTCCTCTGGCCCAGAGGAGCATCACACCCTTTGGATCTCGTGTATCCTCGACCTTGACACTCGGTGAAGTCCAGCCTCGCTTCCCAGCCTTTCAGCACTGCTCCTGCCTCTCACATTCCTGCTCCAGCTGGGCTCTCCTGCTGCCTCTTGACAGGAGGAGCCCTGGGGGCATCAGCTGGGAGGAAGTTGTGGGGTGCCCGAGATTAGAGGCTATTTTGGAGCCCCACAATCTTCAGGACTGACCCTTTGGACAAACGAGCTGTTCCTGGGAGCGGCTGCGTAGCCTCGGCCACACGTGTGTTCCTGCCCTCTCTGCTGAGCCCTGGGAGCAAGAAAGGCTTCTCTTTGCTCCCTGGGATGATTTTCCCCTCCAGTTCTTACCACGGCACAAGAATGGAGCGTTTCCAGCCTGCAGTGCCACCTCCACCACGAGCCAGATCAACAGGAAGGGCAAACCACGAATTCCCCAGAGCTGGGTGTGCTGGGTGCTGGTCCCCAGTGCTGGAGGGTTCAGTGCAGAGCCCTGACCTTTCAGCAGCTGCATTTTCTTATGTACAACTGCAAATTAACTGGAGAGATGGACACCAGCTTCCCAGGAGTGAGGGCCGAGAGACCTTTGTGTAGCTCAGCCTGCCTGATGACTCCTGGGGATGGTCCTGTGCAGGGCTGAGGGTTGGACTTGGTGATCCCTGGGGGTCCCTTCCAACTCAGCATATTCTGGGATTCTGTGACTCTGATGCACCATTTATTGCTAAGGCAACTGGGTCATTGTTTATGCCACAGATTTAATCATGATTAACAAGTGATGCTTATTAATGTTCCCTCTCCAGCTACCTCAGGTAATCTACTCGGCACAGATGTTTTTGAGAGCAATTCCTCTCTAGGACACTTTTTGTGCATGGAAATTGCAGTTCATGTGGGGAAAAAAGGACAAACCTCTTCATTTTGGTGACATGAAATAAAACCCTTGTGTTAAACAATTTAATTCAGAAAAAAAAAATTATGTACATGTTGAATCCGTCAGCCTGCAGCCCAAGGAAGGAGGAAGCTGCTTCTATATCAGATTTACTCTCTGGGTATTCCTCATCTGGCACATCCCCAGCAGAGTCTAAATGGAGTAAGTCAGGCAAATCAGCAGAAGCTGGTTTGTGTATAACCCTGCACTCCCTGCACTCTGTATTGTTCAGGGAGTTATCAAAATGACAGTGGAAATGCAAAGACACTCAGAACGTCTGAGCAGGAATTGTTCCTAACAAGGCACTGAAGCAAGATGACACACTTGGGGATTAGGAAATCGATGTCAGAGCACCGTGCTCATGCTGCTTTTTACTTTACATGGTTATATCTGCAGGGTGTGAAGTTACCGATTCACAGGAAATGTGTCAGGCTGAGCAGGGCTCAGGGAGCTCCCAGGCAGCCTCTGCTCCAGGGCAGGGTCGGAGCTGCTTCTGTCACTGCTGGAAACCCAGGGATCCAGGATTGCACAACAGGCTAAGTTTTAATTCATAGGAAATGGGAGAGAACACAGGAAATCTCCTCTGCCTCTAGAACTGTTCATCTGCATTAACAAACAGAGAGAAGAATTTCACTCAGTGTCTGATTGAGTGCAGTCCCCCAAAAAGCTGATGTGTTCACAGTGAGAGAGGAGACCCAGCTAAAAACCTGCTGAAGACACCCTTTTAAATTCAACCCCTTCAGCTCTGAAAGTCACAGAAAACCCCAACCCCTCGGAAAGGAGCCCTGTAGCACCACAGACCCCAGTGCAGCAGCTCTTCCAGTGTGCTTCACTCTTTAATTTAATGATATCTGCATTCTTACATGGAATCAGTGCATTTCTGAAGTGAATATTTGAACACTAAAAGGGAAACCATTTCTGTAGGCATTATCACTCAGGATGAATCTCCATCCCAAAGATTTCCCTTTACAGGAACCGTTGTTGTGCTGCATCAAAGAGTTGAGGCAAAGTCTATTCTCACAGTTATTAATGTTAATCTCACTTCCTCTGGCAGTAAAACCCTTACCTGGGTGATGAAACTCCAACAAAAAGAAGACTGTGCTTTTCTCTCAAAGTTAATTAACAAAAGTGACCCAAACTGCTCCAAAATTTCCCAAAGTTTTCCATTCCTAGCTCTGGAAAGCCACAATATCCAGAGATGGGCCTTTGATAAGGCTGCAGAGGATTTATAGATAATCTTGCACAGGTAACCACAAACTCCACAACAAGGTCTAAATTAATCTTGCTAAGCTCAAATACCTACTTCCAATGTGGTGTAGCAAAACCAGGGACCTTGATAACACACTTGCCTTCTATTGTCAGAGGAAGAAAAGTTGAATAAAATGAGGTTAAAATACCATGATAAAGTCTGACTCCATGACATCAGCACTGCACGTGATTGTCACAAATATATTAATTTTATTATATTTTTAAATTATGTATTTATATTGCATATTTTTAAATGAGGTTAAAATACCATGGCAACGTCTGCCTCCATGACATCAACACTGCATGTGATTTTCAGAGATATTTATTTTATTTATTTATATTATTATATATCTTTATTATATATTATTTTTTATTTATTCTGTCATATATCTTTACTATATTTTTATTATATATTTATTTTGTTTATTTTATTTGTTTTATATATTTATACATTACTTATATATATTTATATGTTTATTATCTAATTATTCTATCATATATGTAATATAATTTACTCTGATATTTAATAAATAATACAGTATTAATTTAAACCAGACGTGACCTGAGTATGGTTGCAATTGTGAGCTGGATTTATGACCATTTTGCCAGTGCTAGATTTGGGCTAATGAAGTAGGGGCAACGTTGCAGAGATGGGGTAACAAATCAATGGATGTGCTCAGACAAAAAGCAGAGTCCAGAAAACCCAGCAGGTCAGTGGTTTAGTCTTTGGGTAAAGTTTTTAGTGCTTGAAAAGAAAAACTCTGCAGCAGGGGCAGAAATTCCTCTTTATCTTGAGTGCTGAACCCCTCGGGAACAGGAGCTGAGCTCCGGCCGTGCTGCCGGAACGAGGGCACTGGGGAAAAGCCTGTGAGGGACAGGCAGATTTAAGTGGACATCGTGTATGAACCAGCCCTATTTTTGCATGCACAATCCTCACATTTTGTTGATATTTTCACACTAAAGTATAAAATTGTAGCCACATGTTTTTACGTGTAGCCTCGTAAATTTTAGCACGTGTTTTTGCAAAATCATTTCCATGTTCCCTGCACTGTGTCTCTGAGCTGTTTGAATTGGTGTGGAGCTGAAATCAGAGTTGTCTGTTGGCCTTTGTGTGTTTTTAATAATTTTTTGTTTGGCAATGCTGGGGCTGATTGAGAATAAACTGTAACTTGCCAAGTCACATATATGTGACTAAGAAGGAAGTGCAGAGTTTCTGAATCGTTTGTGAATACTCCAGTCATAGAATCATGGAATACCTCAAGTTGGAAGGGGCCCATAAGGAACACCAAGTCCAACTCCCTGCTCCTTGCAGGATGCTATTCTCCTTGCTCATCTTGAGCTCATGTGCTGCTCCACATCCAGGGCCTTGTGACTGGTGTTGTGGGTGAACCGAGAGCTCTTGTCCCGGGTTTTGTGCTGGACAAGCACAGAACGGAACTTTTCCCAAAGAAATTCCTTTGTAAGTGTACCATAAAGACTTGACTCTGAAATAGTTTGGAAAAGGGTAGGGTTGCTACCTTGAGGGAGCTTTTGTTTGCCCTTGGTGTGAAAGGGATGCACTTGGACAGAGGCTCTGTGGAATTTCCGTGTTGGTTGAAATCTGCGTGGAGCAAAGTCGTTCACGCACAGCGGAGGAAGTCGGCAACCAGGAGGGAGAGAGAAAGGGCAGTTCCTCTCCGAGGAGAAACTTGTCCTATCTCTGAGTGTCCTGCGCAGAATGTTTACAAAACGCTCATTAAGGGAGAGGGGATTGCGAGATAGCAACAAATCTGGTGAGCAGCTCACGCTGCCCGAGATAAGGGAGGCAAGGCGGCCATAGCAGAGAGCAAGTCAGATCCAATTACCGGGCCCTGGTCTTGGGGAGGGGGAAGGGGGAGACAGACAGGACGGATCACAAGTTTCAAGACAAGAGCTTCCAAACTTGTCATCTCTGTGTGACACGAGCTGCGCACAACCCAGGGGATAAAACGGCCACTTCGCCCTCACGGGAGCCAGAGCCCGTTGAGGTTGGAGGCTCGAGCGGCGCCATGGATTCCATAGTGCTCCAGCTGTGGGCTGTCCTCTCCCTCCTGGTTCACCTTGCTGCCTGCAGTCCCATCCTGAGCCTGGAGCACTCTTCCTTGGAGGAAGACGCGCCTCTTTTCGATGAGATTCTCTCCGAGCAGGATGGGGTTGATTTCAACACGCTGCTCCAGAATATGAAGAACGAGTTTTTGAAGACCTTGAACCTCTCTGACATTCCCCTGCACGAGTCGGCCAAGGTGGACCCGCCAGAATACATGCTAGAGCTGTACAACAGGTTTGCCACCGACAGGACATCGATGCCTTCTGCAAACATCATCAGGAGCTTCAAAAATGAAGGTAAGAAATGTGCATCTCTGGGAGGAGAGAATAGAAATGAGTGTCTTTAGAGTCAAAGCAAAATGTCTTGACCAGTCACTGAGCATGAGCTGAGCTGGAGAAAAAGACCTTTAGGTGAGGATGGTCTTGGAAATCGGCAGCTGACACTGGGTGTGCCAGGGCTGCCCAGATCCCACATCTTGTGGGACAGATCTCTTGTCCTTTGCTCTGGAGACTGCAAGGTTTTGGGGGAAAATATGCCTTTTGTATTTGGGCAGCACCACATATAATTTTGGTGCATCATTTTCTTTATCCCCATAATGACACCCGTCATTTGCAATTAGCTGGTTGGTTTTTCAAATGGGTACCTTCAGTGATATTTGAAATGAAGGCAAGAGATGTTTTTACACACTGTTCAGAGGTGCAATATTTTCATATTATGAGCTTAACCAGTTACAATTTTCTGTTAATATCCTGTCACTATTGATCCCTGTGGTGTTTGTAATGGTTTCTTCCTTTGGCACTGGAGCACAGTCCAGCAAATACATAGAAGTAGAATATTGGATAACCCTTAGACTTTACTTTGGAGGACCAAAGTGTTTCCTAATAAAAACAAGCAAACAAGCAAACAAAATCTGAAGAAGTCTAATTGTGCCCTTAGGTCATTTCCCTGTATGTTTTTCCTTCATCATTCCCTCTCAGTTCAACAAGGATGAGATAATTCCTCAGTACTAACAATCAGTAATTTCCCAATGCCTTTTTACGCCAACACAGGTTTTATGTTAAAAATGTTTTTCAACTAACCAATTCCAAATTCCCATTACTCCACTTGATTCATGTGTAACTTCTCAGGGGCACACGCAGCTGTTCAAACTGCCTTGGGGCCTCTCTCATGCTTTGTTACTTTAATTAGTGAAGTCAAAGATAGTTTTGCTTTTTCTCTAACATTTGCATATTCAAAATGATGAGCTATGAAGGGAGGCTCCATGGAAGTCATTTGAGTTCTGCAGTGCAATGAGAAATCAGGAGAGAATCCCAAAGCCCTGCTCTGCTCCAGCCTCCTGCCAGGCCTGGGCACCTTTTACCAGCAGCGAGTTTCTGGTTTGAAGAGGCACTACTTTGTGGTTTAAAGGTTCTTTAGACACCTTCTCCAGCGTGGAGAAGTTCTTTGGAGGGTTGGTGGCAAGCCAGTTATACCCAGTGGTGCCCAGATGTTCACCTGCAGAGCCGTGCCCGTCTCACACCCGCAGGAGTGAGGACATGCACAGGACGGGGGTTGTTCTCTTCTCAGTTTGCACTGTTTGGAAAAAATTAATGGGATTAAAAATGCCAAGAACAATATACTCCAGAAAAATAGTTTAGGGACATAACTCTGAAATCATTCCATTTGCAAAACTGAAATCCAGGTTTGCAGCACTGAAGTGGCACCGACTGACCTTTGCCAGCATCACAGGTGGGGTTGGCAGCTCTGTGCCATCCCATACCTGTGTCATCACTGCAGAAGTTCTACACTAGATGAGGTAAACTTGGCTTAAGCTTCTGCCATTTCAGTGTTTCTCTCCCCTCCTCCAATCCAAACCAGCACGATGTGAAGTCAGGTTGCTGATGTTAACCCAGCTTCATAACTGCACACGGTTGAAGGACTATGCAGTTAATGTTTGCTATGTGTCCTGAAAGTCTGTGAAACCAAGAACCATCCATTTCATGCTAAAGAGCTCTTTTGATAGAGAAATTCATTATTTGTAATGATAAGGACAGGAGAAAGAGACCATGACATTTTTGTTGTTTCCTTTCCTGCTGAAAATTGGCAGTAACGGTAGTTTCATTATTTTCCATTAAATCCTTTATTATAGAAATATAACAGGCTGCATGACTGGAACTTGCTCTTTGTTTTAAACCATGAACCATAATGTTGTAAATGGGGCTGTAATCAGTTCTTAATACCTGAATAAAAGTCCCATGGGAAAATTTTATTTTCCTGTGGAGTCCAAATCTTCCTTCCTGCCCCTCCTAGGGGTGTACTGGGAACAGCAGGAGATCTTTCACCTATGCACTTTCCAGCTGAAGAGCAGAGTCACAACCTGGCTTAGAATGGACCATCTCTCCTGCCCTGCTAACACTCATTCAGCTTCTTACATACGGTGTGGCCTTCCCCTTCCTCCTGGGAAATTCCTTGTGTTCATCTTCCATATGATCAAGTGGAATTTCTCCACCCTGGCCTTATTTGTAAGCTTTGTTTTAGCATATTAAGGTCTAGGAAACCCCAAAGATTACTTCCAGTGTGGAGATTATAGCTCAGTTTAGATAACATTGTCTTTAGCTCCCAGTCTGCTCCTACCCTGGCACTGTGCACCACCTTTACCAACTGACATGCAGGGAAATGGAAGCAGAATCACCCCTCATTTTTTTAGTTATGAACAGATGAAAATTAAAAATGGAAAAAAAAAGTAAAAAATTAAAAGGCAGGTGCCTCAAAGCCTGAAAACTGGAATTAAGCAGGACAAGTCACGTGCTGATGGTAATTAACTGCTTGCCTAAGTGCACTGGTGGAGCATGGCCAGTACTTACTGTTTTATCAGTGTCAGTTTTCTACAAAGATATGAAAAATGGAGTAGTCAGAGATAAGAGTTTACCTTTGCAGAAATTACAGTGGTTGTGTCCTGATGTGTTTTCTGGGTTCTGAGGGGGCAGTGAATCCCCCAGGGAGCCGGTCCCTGCACTGTGGCACAACTGCACCTTGTCTGTGTCCAACCAAGTACAGACAGGACAGGCAGATTTTGTACTTCTTACATGTTCTGTCAACTAAAACTGCCATGGGGGCCTGGCTGAGTGCCCTGTTTGACTGCTCCCCTGAAGCCCACTGGGTCTGTGGCAGGACTGATGCTCTGGAGGGTCATACTGGGTGTTCACCACCTGCTCTTCCCAACCAGGAGCCTTTACATCTCTCAGAGCAACTTTTCCTCCACCAGTGCTTGGCCTTTGCAGTGTCTGAGCAGCAGGAAATACTTGTTAGCTCAGAAACACTGAGCAGGCACAGATCCTTGCATATGCAGCTTTTACATCACCCATTTCACATTCACTCCAGTGCCACCCCCTTCTTCCCTTCCTCTGGCACTGAGGAAAGTTTTTCCCTGTTTATTAAATAGTTGCTGTGCAGTAACCTAGGAGTGATTTGTATTTCAGTATTAGGCCACACATTTTTGATATATAATCCTTCCAGCTGGGAAGGAAGTCTCTGGAAGGGCTGGGGCTAGTAGGAAAATGTCTAAATCCAGGTTTATGGTCTGTAGCATGTCCTTTGACATCTAAAATAAAGTTGGCCTTTTCTCCAAGTACAGTTTTGGGAAGTGCTGAAAAACAACTTTCCTAGAGCTGTTTAGCTGAAACCAAGCAATGGAAAACATGTGGGACAAACTTCAGTGCATGTGTTTCTGGATGTACTGACATCCTTCTAAAGTATCTGATCTTTGTCCTTTCCAGACTTGGATTCCCATCCTACTGGTGTCACAGGGATTCGGAAATACCCTCTTCTCTTCAACGTCTCCATCCCTCACCATGAGGAGGTCACCATGGCCGAGCTGAGGCTCTACACCCTGGTGGAGAGGGACCAGATGCTCTACGAGGGGCTGGACAGGAAAGTCACCATTTTTGAAGTGCTGGAGAACGTCCACGTGGGGGTAGGAGAAGAGAGAAAGCTGATGGCCCTGGCATCCAGGCAGATCTACGGCACGAGCAGTGAGTGGGAGAGCTTTGAGGTCACCGAGGCCATCCGGCGCTGGAGAAGGGCCGGGCTGACCACGCACCGGCTGGAGGTTCACATCGAGAGCAGGGAAGGGGAGGAGCGGGACGGGGAGGGGAAACTCGACATCGACATCAACTCTGAGGCCAAGCACGTGCCCCTGCTGGTTGTGTACTCCGACGACCAGAGCAACGACAAGAAGGAGGAGAAGGAAGAGCTGAACGAGATGATAGACCACGAGCAGCTCATGGACTTGGAGCAGCTGGAGGTTGGCCACTTCCACGACCAGCCTGGCGAGGAGGCGCTGCTCCAGATGCGCTCCAACATCATCTACGACTCCACCGCCCGCATCCGCAGGAACGCAAAGGGCAACTATTGCAAAAAGACTCCGCTCTACATCGACTTCAAGGAGATCGGCTGGGATTCCTGGATCATCGCCCCGGCGGGGTACGAAGCCTACGAGTGCCACGGAGTGTGCTCCTACCCCTTGACAGAGCACGTCACACCGACCAAGCACGCCATCGTCAAGACTTTGGTTCACCTGAAGAACCCCCAGAAAGCCTCCAAGGCCTGCTGCGTGCCCACCAAACTCGACCCCATCTCTATTCTCTACTTGGATGCAGGGGTGGTCACCTACAAGTTCAAATATGAGGGCATGGTGGTCTCAGAGTGTGGCTGCAGATAGTAGGAGGGAAGGCACAGGGGAGGGCGCAGGGGGAGTATTTAATGATTCAGTCTGTAAATTTGTACATTTCAGATTTGCTATTTAATGAGGTTATTTAATAAGGCATGTACAGATAATTGTGTGTTTCCTGTTCTGGGGAACGGGCAAGTCGTACGACCGCAGGGATTGTATATTTTGGTCCATTGTTTCCTTCTTGCTGTTCTTCGCTGTCCAAATTATTACCGAGTCCCTCCTCCCATCAGGGCATGGAACAGATCATTGGATTGTTTGGGAGAGCTCTTTGTGCCAGAGGGGCACATTTAAACTCTCAGAAATAAAGGCATATTTTTGTACTTTCTCAGTGTTCATTGGCATCTACAGGGTTGCTAAAGATAGTTGAGCTATGGCCTGTCACATCTAGATTGTTCAGTTTTCTGTAAAATCTTTATAAAGATCTTTACATGCTCAATTTTTTAAATTTATCTCTGTAGATCTTATTCTATGTCTGATCATTCTAAATCACTAAGGCATAACAAGGAGTTAGACTTTTTTCCCTTTTTTCTTATTCCTTTCCTTACTCTTTCCCTGTCTCAGTTCAAGATAAGTGGCAGGGATGATTTGGCATCTGGAACTGAAGGGAACCATTTCCTCTCCCACCTTCCTTAGGAAAACAAAGGGTCCAGAAGCAGTGCCAGGTGTGGGCCATGGCAAGAAATTACCCCTGTGCAGGTTTAGTCCAAAACCAGTCTGTGTAAGCTCTGGTTTTGCTGTGGTGGCCACGGGTTGTCTCTCAAGGGCCAGAGCTTTGAGTGGCAGAAAGAGGTGCTGAACATTTCCTGAATCCCTGAAATTGTACCACCTAAAATTGTCCTAGCTAAGAAATTTTCCCCCTATTCAGTCCAGTAAGTTCCAGATGATACAACCATACAATCCCACTCCAATGGCCAAGCAGTGCTGCACCAAGTTTGCACAGAGCAGGGCAGAACAGCAAACCCCTTCGACCCAGGGGGACAGGGAGGATCTTCCCTTTCTGTGAGTGCTGGAGTTGTCAATTCATAAAGACGTTGCCCCCCTCCCCAAACCATAAAGAAGGAGTCACATGCCATGTTTCCGCCACTCCTCCGCAACAAATCCCGGTGATAAGGAGGTGTCGGAGCTGAGAAACAATAGACCCGTCACTTTATTTATACTAAGCTGCAAATTTGTCAGATTCTTGGGAAAGTGTAAGTGATGTTGACTCTTTTAGCCCGTACCAGAGCCTACTGTACTGTCCCTGCATCTGTTTTACACTTTTAAGGGAAAGTTATCTTCCCTGGAAGTGATAAGGGTCTTCGAAAGAATCACTCCAACACTTCATGGGAATGAACACAAAAGACTTTATCATGCACCAACTAAACCCAGTTTCACCTGTTTTCACACACGCTCTTCTGTGCTTCCCATAATTTATTGACCTATTTATTGACTGTCTGCCTTTGTAATATAATGTAGAATACAGAATGTTTTATTTTTGTGCTGGTGTGTAATCCCACTTGGATAAAACCTTGTACTGATCCTATCTGACGTGGAATCTCTCTGTTGAGTTGTGCTGCACAGAGGGTGGGGCTGCTGATTTATCTTCTCCCCTAGATATTGGTAAATCCCACAGGTCACAGTTTCCTCCCTTGTTTGCAGGGCTGTTCCCTCCCTGCAGTGATTTCAGGAGTGTTCTGGAGCACGTTTGGTCTTGTCCAATGTATGACTCCTCTTGCAGGGGTATCATGGCTTTAAGTGCCCAGCTGTGTAGTTTATTGTAGAGTTATGCAGCCTCCACTCATGCTGCCTGTTTCCAGATAGTTATATTGCTTTATTCCTCACCCTGAGAGTGACTGACACCGCTCCCAGACCTTTCCCCTGAGCCACTCTGCAATCTGAGCCTGTGGTTAGTGGCACGCTGGAGGAATTCATGAGAGGTGTGATATTTGCTCTGCTGACATGAACTGGAGCAGCCAGCGGTTGAAGTGTGACCACACAGACCCTTTCAAAACTATCCATGATTCTTATGAAGCCATTTGCCAAGACAAGCCATTCACCTTGTTAGGAGTGATAATCCAGCATTAGGGAGATAATCCGACATTTGCTTTTATCATCTCTTTTCTGCGACTGGTCCCGTGGCAGTGATTTGCTTTTTGCATCACTGTCCTTTCCTGGCAGCACCAATGTCTCTGAACAGGGGGTAGGAGGGTCTGTGCCTTAAAAATAATGCGTAACCCACTGTAATTGCCCATAATCACTATAAATTCTCAAGCAGCAAAGCAGAGGGGCTGAGAGAAAGAGCCTTCTCCCTTTCTGGCAGAGGTTTGCTGTGACAGAGCAGAGTGTGGGGGGTGTTACAGCACAAAGCAAACCTGGGCAGTGGGTCAGTTATCAGTCAGTGAACCTGCATGTCTGAACTCCTACAACATCAGTGAAAATATCAATAAATATCAATGATAGTTTTTAGAGTCAGGGGCCAGCCAGTCTCCTGCTCTGAGTAACTTTTCTTTATAAAGAGACAAGGACTGTACTGGATGAGGAGCATTTCAGCAGAGTCTGTGGTGAAAGAAGTAAAGCATGAGCTGTGTCTCACTGTGCTGTTTTAGGAGAAAACTGAGCATCCCTTGAATCTTCCAGCTGTGCAGTTCAGAACCTGAGACTGGAACTGCTGAGGGTGGTGTTTCATTTATGATTTCTCTGCCAGCATTGCACACCTGCCTTTTGAGCAAAACCACACCTTCCTTTACCCTTACCTTTGAATATACAAAGGCATTTGTTGGATGTTCAGGCAGCTGATGGCAGAGATTAGACAAAATACCACCAAAAAGAAATAGGAACAGTTATTTTATGAAGAGCTTTCCCTAAGTAGCACATTGAGGTTGTTTCTGCAAGCTCAAAAGTGCTTGGCTTTAAATGCCCCTGTCCAAATAGATACGACACTCACAAATAACATGGTGAGTGTGTGACAAGAGCCAGGGCTGAGCTGGGAGTGCTGGTAATGTCAGGACTCCCTGGAAAAATGTTCCAAGCCCCTGAAAAAATATTTCACTGCATGTTTTCATTTCCTTTGTTTCTTTCTTTACTCCTTCCTTCCATCCATCTACATTAATACTGTGACTTCTGTTTCTGAAAAACTTTATTTGTCACATTAAATACTGGTGTGCATCAATTTTCCTTTCTTCTCTGATCTATTTCATATCAACATCTTAGCAGATGTTTGACTTAAATCTTAAATTGCATCTGAATTTTAGAAAGGTTTGGAAAAATATGGTTTCAGTATTGAAATATCTGTCTTTCCATTCATCCATCCATCCATCCATCCATCCATCCACCCATCCATCCATCAATCCACCTCTGAATTATTGTGTGCAACCAAAGCAACCCTCTCTCACCAAAATCATCAATAGCAGTTGGATTTTTGCTTTCATCTGTTTCTCGTTGAATATGAACAGGGAAGTGTGAGCAGCTACGGAGCCCCTTTTTTGCTGGATGCTGTGTAAAAAGGACAGGCAAAGGGTTGGGAGCAGAAACAGATGATCCAAAGAGAGGAAGAGCCTGGAGAGCAAATCAGGGAGGGAGCAGAGCTTTGGTCTTGGATTGCTGCTTCTAAATCAACTCCCACGATGCCTCTGGGAGAGCAAGAACTTCAAGATATCTCACTCATCTCTTTGCCTGTGAAGAAACTCTGGCAGCTGTGTCTCCTGAGCAAACACTCAGCACCAGGGCCAGATTTCACCAAGCTCTTGGAAGTTTGAGGTTCCCTGGAATGATCCACATCTCAGCTCTCCGCAGGTCGGGTAAAACCCCGCCAATAGATTTCTCCCCAAAGCTTCCTTTCCCTGACCCTCTCCTGGGTCCCTGGAGTCCAGGCTGGCTCTGCAGTGCCCTCTGTAGCTGATTGAGGATACGAATTCCCAGCTTTCTGGATGTTCAAGCTTCACAGCCCAGCGTGGTTTTGCTGCCCCGGCTGCCCCAGCCCTGCCGGCCCCTTGCTCTGGGCAGACCCCTCTGTTTGGGGTGGTCTGTGAGCCTGGGGACAAGGAACTGTTCTGGCAGGAAAGCAGGGCACCCCTTCTCCCTGGCAGTGCTTGGGCTGGCTTGTGCTCTTCCCGTTTGGAGGTGCCCAAATGCCAATCCCTGGGGAATAAAGTATTTCTGAATATTGTGGACACATCTCTTTCCAAAGTCTCTGTGCCCTGCCAGGTGAGCTGGAGCTGAAGACAGGAGGATGAACCTCCCCAAAGCCGAGGTCACTTAGGGAAAATCATCTCCTAAAGAAACCATCATCCAAAGCAGCAGCCAGAACTTATTCCCAACTTCTCCTCCCAAGCCCCAGCAGCTGCACTGCCCTTCCTAGATTGCTCAGAGAGCAAGGCAAACCAGAACCTCCAGCAGTGTAGGAATACCAAAGGATCATGGAGTTTTTGCCAGCCCTGGGCAGTTTGGGTGCCTGGGTCACCTACGGGGAGAGGTGCAGTTTGGGATTTTCTGTGAAACACATTGAGCCAAAAAAAGAATAAAATCTATTCATTTTCGGGGAGGGAAAAAACCACAACAGGAAGATTTCCTGGCACTTGAACATCTGCTTTGAGTGTTTGAAAAACTACAGCCCAGTGTTAATTTAAACTTCCTCAGGACCCAGTTCAACATTTGGAGTGCAAACACGGTTAATAGGATGGGAACCAGGGGGATGGATGGTGGTTTGCTTACTATATTGGGAAACAAAACCAGAACAAAACCAGCTTGAGATAGAGTTTTTGTTTATATTGCTGACCCATCTGTCTTCATTAATGCACTATTTACAGGAAAAGTTAAAAAATTAGCTTCTGCTCTTTCTTCAATTGCAGCAGCAACAAATAAAAGGCTGAACGGTTCATTTGCCCTCAACTAAAAATGGAAATTCTTATCAGCGCCCCTTGGAAGAAGAGGTTTATTATGTGGAGAGTATTACTGTTGAATATTGCTGCTGGAAGCAGGCATTTTGGCCAGAGCTGTGTATTTCTAGCACAGGCAATGTCAGGAGTGCAGAGCACAGGGAAGTGCTTCTGGTCACAGAAAGCACAAACCAGCCACAAAACACGACCCTCATCTTACTCCAAACTCCTGCTTTGAAGTTCAAAGGAGAAATAATGAGGTTTTCCTCCTGTATTGACCGACTCAGGGTAATGGTGTGATTTCCCTGGGTGTGAAATGAGACAGATTTGAGGGAAGGTCTTGGCACAGCTCAGGAATGACCCAAGGTGTGCCTGGCACTGACACTGGATAAAGAGAGGAAGTGACACCCCTTTCTCTGCCCTGTGAGTAAAGGGACAGCACAGATGCACTCAAATTTCTAGAGTTT